TCTCTCTCTCTCTCTCTCTCTCTCTCAACACCACCACCTCCAGTCGGGTACTTACAGTGAGTGAGGAGAGATTAAAGAAAACGTGTGCCCTAGCCTTAACATGGAGGGGAGACTTAACTACTATCAGGAACAAGACTTATTATTGACTTATGACCCAAAACTCGCTTTATTAAACCACTTATTAGCTCTGGGTGTTGAAGCAGTGAGTCGACAAGTGGATCACAAGTGAAAACCAAACTCACTCACCTGGATCTTTAATTAGCGAGTTTATCATTATCTTTAAGTGTAGGTCAAGGTGTTGTGAGGTCAGGGTGTTGTGAGGTCAAGGTGTTGTGAGGTCAGGGTGTTGTGAGGTCATGTTTGTGTTGTTGTGGATGATTAATTTAGGTGTTATTGTAAAAGTTGTTATGAGAACGAGGAAGAGAGACTCAGGTTAATTGTTATTGTTGATATGATACGAGAGTTGAGAGAGAGAGAGAGAGACGAGATCACCTGAAGATTAGTCATCCTAGCTTGTTTTACCTTTTCGTTATTACCTAACCTAACCTAACCTAACATAACTTAACATAACTTAACCTTTTATCCTGCAGTCTGAAAAGGTCTTGATTTTGTGTTGTTCTCTCAAGTTTGGGGTGCATTAATCAGGCATGTAATTACTGTAATATTAATGTAATTCTTAAGTCATTTGCCCCGTGCTGTACTGTAAGTAAGTCTGTATGAGAATCTATCGTTGTGTTGTAAGTTAAGTGAGGCAGTTAAGGTGTTCTCTGAGGGAACACTTTAACTTACGAGACTCTGAGACACAAGTTAAGGCGACCTGCCAGTTAACCCACTTTAATAATATGAAGAAGTCCCATTAGTTCCTCTTGGGGATAATGACAGGAAGCTGGGCACGGGAGGGAGGTGAGGGGGGAATTTGGAGGAGGGAGGTGAGGGGGCGGAGGGAGGGAGGTGAGCAGGAGGCAGGAGGAGGTGAGGCGAGGTGAGGCGGAGGAGGAGGTGAGGGGGCAGGAGGTGAGGGCGAGGTGTGAGGGCGAGGAGGTGGGGAGGGTGAGGGCGGGGAGGTGGGGGGGGAGGGAGGTGAGGGCAGGGAGGTGGGGGAGGAGGTGAGGGCAGGGAGGTGGGGGAGGGTGAGGGCGAGGAGGTGGGGGGAGGGAGGAGGTGGGGGAGAGGAGGCAGGTGGGGGGGGCGGAGAATTGAGGGAGGGAGGAGGGAGGTGAGGGAGAGGAGGGAGGTGAGGTGGGAGGGAGGCTGAGGTGAGGGAGGGAGGAGGAGGTGAGGGCGGAGAGGTGAGGAGGAGGAGGTGGGGGGGCGGAGGAGGTGGGGAGGAGGAGGTGGGGAGGAGGTGAGGGGGAGGTGAGGGAGGGAGGGAGGTGGGGGAGGGGGAGGAGGTGAGGGAGAGGGAGGAGGTGAGGGCGGGGAGGGGGTGAGGGAGGGAGGTGAGGGGCGGGAGGGAGGTGGGGGCAGGGAGGAGGGGGGAGGGAGGGAGGAGGGAGGAGGGAGGTGAGGGGCGAGGGAGGTAGGTGAGGGGCGGAGGTGAGGACGAGGAAGAGGTGAGGAGGAGGTGAGGGGAGAGGAGGAGGTGAGGGAGGGAGGTGGCAGGGGGGCGGAGGAGGTGAGGGGCGAGGGAGGTAGGTGTGAGGGGGAGAGGGAGGGTACTTGTTGTTTCCTTCCCTCTCACCTCTCTCTCCACCCTCTTCTCTCCTTCCCCTCCTCCTTCCCTTTCCTCTTCCTCTCTCCTCTCCTCTCCCCCTTCCCTCATCCCTCTGTCATTCCTCTCTTGTACTCTCTTCCTCTTCTCCCCTTCCATCCATTCTTTCCCTCCTTCCTTACCCTCTTCTCTCTCCTCTTTCTCACTTCCTTCCATCTATCTACCCAATTCCCCTTTCCCCGCCCTTTCATTTCTCCACAACAATAACAACACAACACAATAAAAACACTAACTACATCAATAACAACACAATAACACAACACAATAACACAACACAATAACAACACACCGTTTAACCCCCAGCCTACCTAGTCACCTTGACCTCCTACACCTAAAACTCACTTGACATAAATTACACCGCATGCAAAACAAGGCCTCGTTATGTTAAGGTGTGTGTGTGTGTGTGTGTGTGTGTGTGTGTGTGTGTGTGTGTCTGTCTGTCTGTAGGTGTTCCTGTGTCTGTACATTAATAACCCCTTTTCTTGGCTGTAATCGGGAGGTATTTAATTGTAATCGGAATGTAAACAATGTCTCACGCAATCAGCTGGTCAGTCTCATTGGTCGGCTCTCATAAAACAACATTAGCTAATCTGAATGGGAGAAATTTGGCTGAGTCAAAGATAATTTTTTCCATATTGGCGAATCTTTAGTGAATTCCTCGCCATAGTCTTCGCCATAGTCTTCGCCACGTTCCTCGCCACTCCTATAATAACCTTCAACCTTTGTCATGCACCTCGCCAACACTTCACCACATCTCGCCACTCGCCAACACCATTACACACAGCCACGCTAAGCTGAATCCAGTCTGTTTGTTTTCAACTTTCCCACAGCTTTATCTTCACTTCCTTCAGTCTCTACTTCCTTCAACATTCACTTCCTTCAGGCTCTACTTCCTTCAGCCTCTACTTCCTTCAGCCTCTACTTCCTTCATTTCTATCATCAAGTGTCTCTAATTATCATGAACTTCCATCATTCTCTCAGCTTTATCTCCCTCTCTTTCATCTCTCTTTTCTCTCTTTATTGTCTCTTGCTTCTCTCTCTCTTATCTTGTTCTTGTTATTTTTTTGTTTATCAGAGAAAGAGTGTGTGTGTGTGTGTGTGTGTGTGTGTGTGTGTGTGTGTGTGTGTGCCAGACAGACAGACACACACACATCTCAGAGACCAACACACGTCTTTCACTTTCTACATCTGACAAATGATTGGGTAAGTGAATGTGGCCCCGGGGTAGTGGTGGTGGTAGGGGGTAGTGGTGGTGGTAGGGGGTAGTGGTGGTGGTGGGGTGGAGTGGTGGTGGTGGGTGAGTGGTGGTGGTGGGGGTAGTGGTGGTGGTGGGGTGAGTGGTGGTGGTGGGGGTGGTGGTGGTGGTGGGGTGGTGGTTGGTTGGTGGGGTGGTGGTGGTGGTGGGGAGGGTGGTGGTGGGTGGGGGTGTGGTGGTGGTGGGGTGGTGGTGGTGGTGGGGTTGGTGGTGGGGTTGGTGGGGTTGGTGGTGGTGGGGTTGGTGGTTGGTGGTGGGATGGTGGTTGGTGGGGGTAGTGGTAGTAGGGGGGTAGTGGTGGTGGTGGTAGGGGGGTAGTGGTGGTGGTAGGGGGATAGTGGTGGTGGTAGGGGCTGGTGGTAGGGGGGTAGGGGGATAGTAGTGGTGATGGTGGGGGATAGCTGACTAGTTAGGGTAGTGGTGGTGGGGTATCACACGTACCTCTCACTACCGTGTTGAGGTAGTGACGCTGTCCACCACACACTACACCTAGCCTCCAGGCACCGTACTACACTGGATAGACCAACTGCCCCAACAAACATTAAGATGATGAGTGTTGAAATGATTAATGGAAAAACAAAATTAAATAAAGTTTAACTAAGTCAGTCCGATATTACAGTAAATAGATCTAAATTTGTTTTCTTTGACGCACAAACGTCTTCATTTTCTATTACGTTAGGGCGTTAACTATTACATTTGTCAAGCAGTCCCTTTCCTCTTCCTCACCCACAATTACAACTCTCCTTCTTTTTTCTCCTCCTCTTCCTCACCTATTCCTCCTCCTCCTCCTCTTCCTCACCTATTCCTCCTCCTCTTCAACTTCCTCTTCCTCCTTAAAATAATCTTCTCTCTATTTGATGTCCGTTTCCTTCATTCATATCTATGCCTTCTTCATTCTTCTACTATATCTCCCTCTACACCCTTCCTTCATTCCCATACCCTTTCCTTCACACCTTCCCAACCCTGCATCACCTCTCTGTTCCCTTCCCATCACCCTTCTGTTCCCCTTCCTTCAACCCCACACCCCTCCATCTTCTTTCCTTCACCCCTCCCCTACCATCCTTCACCCCTCCCCTCCCCTCCCCAGTACAGAGGGTCAAGGTGAGACTGTATCAGAGAGTCAACAGACCGACGCCCACCATTGGTCTCCGGGGATAAATGGCGGTGATGGTAGATGATGGTAGTACAACACATACCCACTGTAGTCAGTCTGGTCTGATAGTCCATCAGTGCATGGGTCACTTACACCATCACCACCTGGGTCACTATCACCATCTGAGTCACTGTAGTCACCATCTGGCTGACTCACTCCTGCTACAACTGACCCTGGGTGTGAAGGTTCCGGGTAGGAGCCTCGTTGACTGTGATTAATTGATAAAGTTGACTCACATGTTCCTTTTACACACACACACACACACACACACACACACACACACACACACACACACACACACACACACACACACACACACACACACACAACCTCGTAGTATGGAACACAATGCGACGGTAATTACTCATCCTCCCTCCCGCACTTGTGACCTCTGACCTGTGTGACCCAGTGCCTCCACCCCTCTCCCTCTGACCCACCTCAACCTGACCCTCCAACCCCTACTTCCCCACCTCCCTCTGACCCTCCAACCCCTACTTCCCCACCTCCCTCTGACCCTCCAACCCCTACTTCCCCACCTCCCTCCCTCAACCCCACCTCCCTCCTCCCTCTTGACCTTGAAGCCATTGAACTCTTCCACCGCACAATACTGTCTCCTATCTTCCTGGTCTTGGAATATATTACAGTGGTGGTTACAGTGACACGGTTAATAATAGTTACAGCTAATTACAGTGACACAGCTGGTGATTAGGTTACAGTGATATTTACAGTAATACAGCAGTTGCAGGTACAGGTAACACTGATGTAAAGGAGTATAGCATTGTGTTAACTCGCCGACTAACTATCACTCAGGTGTGGCCTCTAGCGTACCTCGACTCACTTTACCTCGCCTTACAGTCTAGGAGGTGAGGTGTAAAGGTGAGATGGCCTCCAGTCCAGGAGGTATGGCGTGGAGGTTACGGGTGGCCTCCACGTCACCACTCTAGGACATCAACACCACACTAACCCAACCATCCTAGCCACCAGGTGATTCCCACAAAGGATATAAAGTAATGGCTACTTATAATAATACGAGAGCCCGTCAGCACAGGTACTCGGCTTCAGTCACATGTTCCTCACGCTAATTACGTCAATCAAGAGCAAAATTGTAAAAGTTCCGGATTTTTTCACAATAAACTCCAACGTCAGATTCACACGGTCAGATCACCTCCCCTCCTTCCCTCACACGAACACACACATATTCTCTCTCTCTCTCTCTCTCTCTCTCTCTCTCTCTCTCTCTCTCTCTCTCTCTCTCTCTCACACACACACACATGGGAAGGTATGTGGTGACAGGAATTATGAAGGTTCACACGTCAAGTCTCCCCCCTCCCCCCAGGTGTGTGAACTATGTAATTGGCTCAGTATAACACCAGGACAAACTCTTAAAGGTTCCTCAGTTAACTCTACACCTTTACAAGAGAACGAGTTTAGTTGGTCCATGGAAACTCGGTCCCAATGATAGATTTGGGGAGGTTAAATATGGAGAGAGAGAGAGAGAGAGAGAGAGAGAGAGAGAGAGAGAGAGTACAGGAAGGACGCTCTGATTCTCCTCCTCCTCCTCCTTCTCCTCCTCCTCCCATTGTTAGTGTTATTATCTCCTCATTATCATACCTCCTTCTCCTTCCTCCTCCTCCCTCCTCCTCCACCTTCCTTTTCACTTTTTCTCCTCCGCCTTCCTCCACCATCCCATCTTGGTCCTCCTCTTTCTTATTCTTTTTCCCGTTTTCCCTCTTCCTCTTCTTCCTTCTACTTTTCACCCTCCTCCGTCCTCTTCTTCTCCCCTTCATCTTTGTCTCCCTCCAGCCCCTCTCACTCCTCCTCCTCCTCCTCCGTGTGGCCTTCCTAACCTTCTCTGTTACAATAAAGTTCCTCTGAGGTTTATAAGACACGAGGAAGGTAATGGTGCCAAGGGGCGTAATGGTGCCAAGGGAAGTAATGGTGCCAAGGGACGTAATGGTGCCAAGGGAATTAATGGTGCCAAGGGAAGTAATGGTGCCAAGGGAAGTAATGGTGCCAAGGGGCGTAATGGTGCCAAGGGAAGTAATGGTGCCAAGGGACGTAATAGTGCCAAGGGAAGTAATGGTGCCAAGGGAAGTAATGGTGCCAAGGGAAGTAATGGTGCCAAGGGAAATAATGGTGCCAAGGGAAGTAATGGTGCCAAGGGAAGTAATAGTGCCAAGGGATGTAATGGTGCCAAGGGACGTAATGGTGCCAAGGGAAGTAATGGTGCCAAGGGACGTAATGGTGCCAAGGGAAGTAATGGTGCCAAGGGGCGTAATGGTGCCAAGGGACGTAATGGTGCCAAGGAGGAAAGTATAAGTACTCACAATATCTCTTGAAATACACTAGATTTCACGTGAAATTACAACAGGAATATGCTAGTTTGTGGACGAAATTGTCATATGCGATGTATTTCTGTAACTTCAAGGCAACTAGTGTGTGTGTGTGTGTGTGTGTGTGTGTGTGTGTACATTCACCATCCTATGTAACGTGATCATTTTGTAATGCCTGTAATTGTTCCTGTATCTGTACCTTGTGCCTGTATTGTAAGAGTGTGTTGTTAACTGTTTGAAGTCTTTGTACCTGTATTAGTAAGTTTACCTGTATTTGTACTGTAGTTTCCGAATTACTGTACCAACACTTCCACTAATTGACACTACCTCCAACACCACCATCACCCCTACCATCACCACCCACACCACTATCACCACTATCTCCACCATCACCACCATCACCATCACCCCTACCATCACCACCCACACCACTAACACCACTACCACACCACCATCACCATCACCCCTACCACCACCACTACCACTACCTCCAACAACACCATCACCCCTACCATCTCCACCCACACCCTACCTACCTCCAACAACACCATCACCACTGCCACATCACCACACCCACCACTGCACACACCACCACTACCTCCAACAACACCATCACCCCCACCATCACCACCCACACCACTACCACCACTACCTCCAACACCACCGTCACCCCCACCATCACCACCCACACCACTACCACCACTACCTCCAACAACACCATCACCACTGCCATCACCATCTCACCACCACCTCCTCCATCTCCACCACCACTAACCATGTGGGGGATGGTAGTGATGGTGGTGGTGGTGAAGGTGATGGTGGGGAGGTTTAGTGGTGGTGGTGTTGGATGTGGTGGTGGTGGTGGTGGTGGTGTTGGAGGTGGTGGTGAAAGTAGTGGTGTTGGTGTTGGAGGTGGGGAGGTTAATGAAGGAGCTCAAGGCACCACCCGGGGAGTGTAGTTCTCACGGGGGTGATTACCTGAACGAGGGGAGTGTTGGGGGAGGATAATGATGTAACTCCCCATCAACACCCTCCCCCCTCTCTCCTTCCCTCCCTCCCTCCCTCCCTCCCTCCCTCCCTCCTTGCATATCATTTAATTCTATATTTTCCTTCTTTCTTTCCTTCCTGAGATAGAGAGAAAAAAGATAAAACAATAGATAGAGAGAGAGCCACACACACACACACACACACACACACACACACACACAAAGATTTTATCATTAACAATCTTAAGGGGTCGTATGTATGTATGTATGTATGTATGTATGTATGCGGTTGGTGACGGTCACAGCCACAGGAAGTCACCACCACTACACAGGCCGAGGAGGAAGGAGGGGAAGAGGGAAGGAGATTAAGCAACAGCTGATTTTTGTTTACATTTTATCAACTTATCCGAATGCATGCACGACCACCTCGCCTCCCTCACACCACTTAAACACCTCATATACTGTACACCCGAACACAGGTAACGAACACAATACATAATAGATATGAAGAAAAACTAGAATATTTTTACAGGCTAACGGATGTACCTGTAGAGTCATTAACGATTCGTATTTTTCCAGGTGCTTATTACATCATTAAGAGGGGCTGAAACACGTCCAGGTGTACCAGACAACAGTACCTGGGATTACATCAACAGGTAAACAACAGGTAAGATTCTAGTTGAAAGATGATTGTTAGTTGTCAGGGTAGGTTAGGTTAGGTTAGGTTAGGTTAGGTTAGGTTAGGTTAGGTCAGGTCAGGTCAGGTTAGGATAGGATAGGATAGGTTTACTAGCGATATAAGAACAGTTGGGATCACATGACGATTAACTCTCCCTGCTGATTTTGGCCTGAAGATTAACCACCCTAACGGTAACCAAACCAAACCTAACCTAACCTAAATTTTGTTGCTGTTTTCTGTTATTGCCACTGTTAGGAACATCTGTTGCTACCGTTGATATATATTAACAGGAGCCTGGTGACCGCCGTTGCTATTTGTGTTGCTTGGGTCACTAGTGAGGTGTAGGGTGTAGGGAAGGTGAGCGTTGTGTTGTAACTCTCCCTTCCTCCCTCTCTATCTCCCTTTTTCAATACCTTCATTCCCTCCTCCCTCCCTCGATACCTTTCTTCCTCCCTTCCTATCTTCCCTCTTCAATATCCTCCCTTCCTCATCCTTCAATACCCCCTCTCCCTTCTTTCCCTCCCTCTCACTTTCCCCTTCAATAGTCCCAAAGCCTTTCCTCCCTCCCTCCTCCTCCCTCCTCCCTCCTTCCCTCCCTCCCCATATTTCTTCCTCACAAAAAATGAAAATTCTACCCAGTAGCTTCTTCACTTTGGCCTTGAATTTGTTTGTTTTATCTGTTTTGTTTGTTTGTGTGTTTTTTTATCTTCTTTGTGTCTCTGTCTGTATATGTGTGTGTGTGTGTGTGTGTGTGTGTGTGTGTGTGTGTGTGTGTGTGTGTGTGGAGATTTAAGTGTTTTCTGTGTGCATATATGTTTGTTTGTGACTGTGTTTGTGTGTTTGTCCTATTCTGAGAGAGAGAGAGAGAGAGATTCAGTCCTTGAGAGGAAGGGTGGAGGCGGAACTGATCTTAACTGGCTGACATAACACACACACACACACACACACACACACACACACACACACACACACACACACAAAGACAAAGAAACTGACACAACAGACATATATAAACCCAACAACGAAGGAAATTGGTATAAATTGGGCAGTTTCCCTCTCGACCGACCTCCAATTACCTGTTGATAAAATGTGAGAAGTGGAGCTGTGCAAGTGTAGCGTAGGAGGGAGGGAGGGGGTGAGAGGAGAACAAGAAGGAGAGTGGGAGGATGGAAGGAGGGAGGAAGGAAGATAGAGCGGGAGAGAGGAAGAGACAGTGGGGGGAAGGAGAAGAGGAAGAGGAAAAAGGGAGAGTAGGAGAAGGGAGAGAATCACGGTGGAAGTATGTACATACAGCTGTAAGAGACACACCACATACAACAGTGGTCTGTAGATGGCACTGTATAATGAATGTACTGTACAGTATAGTGATGGTATATAGTTGTGTATGCTTGTATTGTTACTATATTGTTGTTGTATGATTGTATTGTCAGTGTAGTGTTGTATGATTGTATTGTCAGTGTAGTGTTGTTGTATTGTGTATTTTTCAGTATATTATTGTCGTATGATCTGTCTTGGTATATCAGTAGTTGTATATGTTCGCTGTACAATACACCAAAACAGTGTATGACATCATAAAATATAATTTCACAACCACTACAATCCCTAACTTAACACAACTGCTAAATTAACCCTAATTACCTTAACGAGCCTTGACAAACAACCCTACCGATAATTCACTACTAAAATACCCATAACTACCCAGTAAACTACCAAATTGCATTGTTAATCACTCGTCACCTTGAGCAGTCTTTCTTAGCGTCGGAACCGTGGGAAGACTGCATCAGTTATCGTGGTAGGATCGATAAGAGGCGGGAATTATTAATCTCTATTAAGCTTTTAGTGAGGAGGCAACGCCGTGATGTCATTGGTGGGTACAAGGTCACGTGATCTGTGGAGGTGTAGGGGGAGGAAGGGTGAGGGTGTAGGGGGAGGAAGGGTGAGGGTGTAGGGGGAGGAAGGGTGAGGGTGTAGGGGGAGGGAAGGAGGGGAAGGAAGGGTGAGGGGTAGGGGGAAGGGGAGGGGTGTAGGGGGGGGAGGGAAGGGGGAGGGGGGAGGATGGGTGAGGGGTGTAGGGGGGAGCAAGGGGTGAGGGTGGGGGAGGGGTGTAGGGGAAGGAAGGGGAGGGTGTAGGGGGGAGGAAGGGAGGGGTAGGGGAAGGGGAGGGTGAGGGGTGGGGAGGAAGGGGTGAGGGGTGGGGAAGGTGAGGGGTGAGGGTGTAGGGGAGGAAGGGTGGAGGGTGTAGGGGGAAGGAAGGGGTGAGGTGTAGGGGAGTGATGGGTGAGGGGTGTAGGGGGGAGCAAGGGGTGAGGGGTGGGGAGGCAGGAGAGGGGGAGTAGGGGGAGGAAGGGTGAGGGTGTAGGGAAGGTGAGGGTGAGGGTGTAGGGGGGAGGGAAGGGTGAGGGGTGGGGGAAGGAAGGGGTGAGGGGTGTAGGGGAGGAAGGGGTGAGGGTGTAGGGGGGAAAGGGTGAGGGTGTAGGGGAGGAAGGGGGTGAGGTGTAGGGGAGAAGGGGTGAGGGTGTAGGGGGAGGAAGGGTGAGGGTGTAGGGGGAGGAAGGGGGATTAGGGGAGGTATTGTTTAACCTCATCTTCATTCATGTGCCTCTTACGACATACATTTATGTTAGCTAATAATAACTAACAATAACAACAATAATAATAGCAACAACAACAATAATAATAACTAACAACAACAACAATAATACTAATAATAATAATAATAATAATAACAACAACATTGAGTCACCAAAACATGAACCAATGCCTTGATACAGGTCTCAGAGGAAGATTTAAATTGGACAGTAGAGAGTGATCTTACTGGTGTACTGTACCCACACCTTGACCTCTGACCTGAACCTTGACATCTACCTCTAACCTGAACCTTGACCTCCTCTACCTTGACCTTGACCTCTAACCTGTAACTTGACCTCTACCTCTAACCTGAACCTTGACCTCTTAACTAGCATCGTCCAATAACGAGCAGGGTTTATAATGTGAGGGTTTAAAGATTAACGAACATATCTACAAGTAAACATCTCTAAGTAAACAAACCATATATACACGTAAACAAACCATATATACACGTAAACAAACCATATATACAAGTAAACAACCATATCTACAAGTAAACAAACCATATATACAAGTAAACAAACCATATATACAAGTAAACAAACCATGTATACTAAGTAAACAAACCATATATACACGTAAACAAACCATATATACACGTAAACAAACCATATATACAAGTAAACAACCATATCTACAAGTAAACAAGACGAATCTACAAGCTGTACTCACCATCAACAAGGAAGACAGTAGTAATAAGAGCAGGTCACATCCACACCACCAGTTCCTCCAGTCCATCTCGCCCCAGCACCACCAGTCTCTCTTCTCCCTTTGGTTCCTCTGATAAGTTTTGAAGTCTTGGTGGTGTCCTCAAGGCGTATGTCTGGTACCCTGGATATTTTTGCTGGTGTTTATTAATTGTTTTTGTTTAATTTATCTTGTTGTTGTTGTTCTTGAGGGTGCTTTTCTTGAGCCCTGGATTGGATGTTTAAAGGGTTTTTTTTTTGTAGAGTTTGTGTTTTTTTAATGTACTTAGGGGTGAATTTTTTCTGTTTTTATTTGTGTTTTTCTGGTTAGTTTGTGTCTTAGAATATTCTCAGTTTCTCGTCAGCACTAAGGTTTGTCCACACACACACACACACACACACGTCACTCACTGTTCCTTATCAAACTCGCCACATTACTCAACACTTATTAATTTCAGTGTTTCCTTCTTCTCAAACATATTTTGAGTTTGTTGTCTTTGGTGATGATCATCATTGAATAGTAACTACACGGTCCTCTCTCTCTCTCTCTCTCTCTCTCTCTCTCTCTCTGGTATATTTAGTTATATTATATTTAGTTACACGGAAAACAACTTGTAGTCTCATATGAACGTGATATATGTGTATATTTGTTGGATCACCTGAAGATTAGTCACCCTAGTTTTTTTCATCTAATGATTAATCGTCCTAACGCTAATCTAACCGAACTTTAATTTAACCTAACTTAACTAAACCAAACTTATCCTACCCTCACCTAACTAAACCTAACGTACCCTAACCTAACCTTCCCCCCTCTAACGTAATCTAACATATACCCTAACGTAATCTAACCAACCCTAACGTAATCTAACCAACCCTAACGTAATCTAACCTACCCTAACGTAATCTAACCAACCCTAACGTAATCTAACCAACCCTAACGTAATCTAACCTACCCTAACGTAATCTAACCTACCCTAACGTAACCTAACCTGTACAAACACACCTGCACCAACACACCTGCAGTAGAGACGAAAGAGGGGGGGTATGTAAGAGGTTAAGACGAGGAGCAAGTGTGGGTGTCCTGCTGTGATATTCCCGGCTTAATGACCTGCTTCCCTGCCTCCCTCCTTTTCCTCACACCTTTACTACCTGCCCTCTTTCCCTCCCTCCCTTCCCTAACTACCTAGTCCCCTTCTCTTCTCTCCCTCTCTTCCCTCCGTCCCTCCCTAACTACTTACCCTCCATCTTTTTCTCCCTCCATTCCCTCCCTTCCTTTCCTCTCTAACTCCCTAACTACCTGCCCTCCTTCCCTTCCCCATAACTACATTCCCTCCCTTACAATCTTCCCTCCTTCCCTCCCGCTCTCCCTTCCTCCCCCTCCCTAACTACCCTCCCCCTCCCTAACTACCCTGCCCCTCCCTAACTACCCTCCCCCTAATTCCATACCATCTCTCCTTCCCTCCCAGGACAGGTAAAGTAACACAATTAACACTGGACAGGTAAATAACACACTTGACAGATAGGTAACACACTGGAGAGGTAAGCAGCCACTGGACACTTAAATAACACTAGTAACACACTGGACAGGCATGTGACACACGTCCTCTCCCGGCGTGAGCAACACACTGTGTGGAGGACGCCATGGTGTGTGAGCCAGTACCTACTTGCTGCCGCCCTGTGTGAGGGAAGGAGGGAGGGAGGAGTTAGGGAGGGAGATTGGGGGGTTAGGAAGAGGAGAGAAAAGTAGTATAAGGGCAGAGGAATAGGAGTCAAAGGAAGAGGAGTGAGGTAGGGATGGAAGAGGGTGGGAGGGAGAGTGGCGGAAGAAGAGTGATAAAGGAATTGCATATTGAGAATAGAGAGAGAGAGAGAGAGAGAGAGAGAGAGAGAGAGAGAGAGAGATAATAAAACAGAGGGAGGTAAGGCCTGCTTGTTGGACATGTAGTACGCCGTGACGGTCTAGGTCAAAGCCACGTCAAGGACACCAACTTTAACCCCACCCCCGGGCCCCTCTCTTCTTAGCTAATGGGCGGAGGATGGGCGTGAGGAGTTCCGCTCTCTTATGGAGGGTGTAGGAAGGCAGGTGGGGGCGGTGAATGGGTGTGGGGGCAAGAAAATGGGGGAATCATTAAAGCAGATGAATGTGGATTCTGTTGTGTGGCTCAGTAAATCTGTGAATGGGTATAACACGGAAGTAAGGGGGCACTGTAATGGGGTATATGAAGATGATGGGTGAAGAAGTAGTTGTAGTAATGAATGAGTTAAGACCACTCCTCTGTACCCTGTGGGGAGGCAATTTAGTATTGTGACGTATGATAAGTTAAGCTGTCGTGTGCGTCAAAGATCAAACTCCATAAAAACTCATCACTTACCAATTATCTGACACTCATAATCAAATGGAGATACAATATAGCCGTAATATATCCCTGAACAGATAATATAGGACCAAGACAAGATATATATATACAAGGTCACTCACAGGTTACGAGGATAAAATCACAAAAGACAAATAGAATTGATGTCAGGACTTGATTTTCCGGGTTAAGTTAATCGGAGTTTGCCTTGACGTTTAGTATAGTATATCAATATGGCGTGTATGGATTAATAATGAAATTATTTTCTGTGGTTTACCTGTAGATTAGCACCCCTTCACCACCCACATGTTAATTAAATACCTTAATTTGACCTGATTGGTTAGGTTAAGTTACCATCAGGTTAGGTTTGATTCGGCTAGGTTAGGTTAGATTAGGTTAGCATTAGGTTAGGTTTGTTTCAGTATAAAATTGGGGTGGGTGATCAGAACATGTAGTTAAAGTGTATCAATTGTTGAAATAAGTATCATGTCATAATAAATACATCTCAAGGCCTGGAGAACCTCATAAATTACTTCGTTGTTGTCCTTCTGCGAGTGAGTTTATCAGTGAGCGCCTGCAGACACGTGGAGACAGTGGTGGGAGATGGCCTCAGGCGGGCTGGCTGAAGGGTAGATGTGTGTGTGTTGCTGCGGAGGTCTAAGGTCGCGTTGTGTGGTTGTGAGTTATGTTCATCTACCGGTTGTAATCCTTCCAGCTGGTGTGTGTTATGAACCTGAGTGTAATAATAATAACAATAACAATGTCAACAACGATAACAACAACATAGCAAACACATCAACAATAACAACCTCCAATATACCCAGAACGTACCCAGGCAATATTTCCACCATCTAACCTGGGAAAAAAATTCTGAATCATCGATAGGAGTAAGGCCGGAGGGCGAGGCTCGACCTTGACGGGATGATAGTGTCACATCAATAATGGCCGCCACACACACATTACTCCATACCAAGTAAATTATGTCACGGTTGGGTGGGAAGTATTTCATATCCATTTAATATTGCCTCAATGGATGATGATAAATATTTCGTTCCCTGGATATATATCACAGATGGGTCATAGATATTGCCTTTTTTTTTTTTACGGGAATTAACCCACCTGGGCACAGGTCAAACGACCCACAACGGAGCCTGGGGGACGAAAAAAAAAGAACCGAAAGAAATTGTAAATATAGAAAAAAAAAAGGTTATACAGTACATACTGTATTAATCTACACCACGAAGATGCCGGAAAACCAGCTTTTTAAAGTGAGACAGATTGTAAGAGCATGGAAACACAGAAGAAGGCAGAGCATTCCACAGTTTGGCTGTGTGAGGAAAGAAGGAGGTACTATAACGGGTTATTCTCGTGTGACCGACATCCACAGAGAAACGGTGGGCACCGCGGGCAAGACGTGCGTTACGAACCCACGGCCTTGCCGGCGGTACACAGGATGCCAAATCCATATACTACCTGTATACTAGAATTTCTGTTTTTTAATTCAGATCCTTTATCAGCATGTCTGAATCTATAGTTAAATTTTAAATAAACTTAAGTTTTTATGAGTTTGGCTGGGCTTTTATTTACTCAAAATACAATATTATTTTTTTTAAATAAAAGATTTGAATGATTCGGGAATTAATTGTTAACTTGAAAACATTAACATAATAATTACCCATTTAAACAATAATAAATACAATACAGTACAGGTATTCCCTTTGCTTCCATTTCTGTGACTTACTCTTTCTATTTTGTTAAGTAAGATGTTTGCTGGAAATCCTATACAATACTGACTAGTAATCGAAGTAGGATTTCTCCTTCATATATCCTATTTCACTCTATTAACTTCCTGTTGTTCCCTCATTCAATATTGACTTTCCTGCAAATAGACTGACAACTAGACCTTGCTTCAAGTAGGTGTATAACTGTTGTTATTGTTAACCATATACTGTCACCTGGTGACCGAGTGACCCGGTGGTAATATTCTCAGGCTAATAACAGCTACTATACGGTTATTTTATTTATTATATTATTCAAGAACCTTAAATTACTACTAAAAATAAAGTGATCATATAATTTGCGAAGAACATTTTAGGACGTATAATAAACAGGAACCTAAAAATAAAAGGGTTTTCGACTAAAGAAGTAGCCCTGTAGTACCCCTTTCACACGCTGTTGTTGTCCTTGGTGTATTACCATATATCTCGTGGCTTTGAAGGTGGGATGTTTTCCAGTGTGAGGGATTCAGAGGGGTGATACCAGTGTTTCTTTTAATAATACATCTGCTGTTATTGATGTTCTTGTTTGAGTTTGAGACTACAGTATATGGAGAGGAAAATCCATTACATCAAGGGTCCGTTAGATGTGAAACCTCCAGCTAACAAACTATGTAGAGAATTAAAGTCCATTATATCGAGCATCTGTTATCTTTGAAAACCCTTATCTAATGGATTACCCTATGGAGAGAGAGGTCTGTTATATAGAGGTTTCACTATACAGTACAGTATATAGGTCTACATCCTCACCAACATGAGCACATTAAAACTGGTCTTGTTTTATTTACAATTCATGTCAAAATAAAGTACAGGTACTGTATATAATTAAAGAATAAATAAATTAAATATTTCTTTATTTACAAATGATTGAAAAAATGCTGAGGAAGATGCAAAGGAACACGAAGGGAAACATTTTGTGTCGACCCCTTGCATAGTCCTCAGAGATGGCTGGCTGACTGGCTGTTTCCTGGAGACCAACACTTGCTGCTACAATCTGTGTCAGTTTTAAGTTATTTTTTAAAAATGTAGCTGATGGTTCATTATCTTGAGAATGCAGTAAACTGCATCTACAGCAACCAGGTGACTGATTTTATTATGCACAACAATGACTCAACACAATTATAATCACTCACACATTGATGTCTTCCATACTATCATCCGTTTGGTACATTAACTCTCACTGATTCTTCGTCAAACAATAGTCAGTCATTCACAAGTTTGTCCTATAGAACCATTCACAAATGAATCAGCCGTGAAAATTAGATTTTATAGGACAAATGTAACAAAAATAATTATATGTACAAACAACAAACAATGTCATGCTGGAGACTAGGAAACATCCAACAATACAGAAGAGTGAGCATTCCAGCAGGTCACAGTCTTGATGCTGGCCTCCTGTGGTTTGTGCCTCTCTTGCCTCTAAAATCCACAAGTAATCCTAATAAAAAACTGACTTAATAATTCAGTTCAGTAAAATATAATTGTTGTATGATTGAAACAGTGGAACAGTTATAGCATTTAAATGTAGTGTATTCAGAAGTCTTTAATTAGAATACCTATACTGTACAGTATTGTATTGTAGTTGGCAAGTTCTGGGGAAAACTTAATTTTTACTGTACAACTGCAATGATTCTTAAACATAATTATGAGAGATCTAAACCAGTCAGTGTTATATATCAACCAGGAGAGTCTGCCTACCTCTCTTTACTGGTAACTGAGGCTGTATCACACTTTGGCAAGTTTAGCTAAAAGACACCAAGCATTCTGGCTGTTTGTATCCTTAAAGGAATTCTTTCACTATACAGTACAGCAGTGTGTGATAAGTAGCCTCACCACACACTGATGTAATTGTAGTAATAAGCCGTTTTCTGTGTAACTGATCATTCACATATCTATAGTTGTATTTAATGGGGTTGTTCGTATTTATGACAGGGTGATCAAGTACAAGGCTTCTCCACCTGCCAGTTGAGCATAACAAAAGAAGTTTCCATCTATGACATGATTTTAATTTGAAGTCATCATCTTGCCCAAGTTCACAAAACACACAAGCACTTCTATCAGCGGAGTTGGCTCTCTTGTTTCTGCGTTAACGTCTCCGAAGGAAGGAGGACGTCCAGGAACTGGTGAAGGTCTTACTCTGGCGTTCTTCTTCAGCCTTCTGACTCAACACCATCTCCTGCTCCTGGGCTTTCCGGTGGTTTTCACGGAATGCTGCCAATGGGCTGTCGAATGTGCGGTAGTAGTCGATGACTTCTCGAACATCTGACACTTCAGACTCGGCAATTGCTGTAACAAAAGTAAGAACGTAATAATATCTACCATGGCAGCCATCAACCCTTACAGGAAGTCTTGTAGAACAACAGTTCACTAAAAACCATGGTTTTTCTCTCTGGTCACTTCAGAAAGGTAAAAAATCTCCCACACAGTTCAAATACAATATTATTACTGAAGGAAAGGGAAATTTGTACCAAGTTTAATCAATAGTCAGTTTAAATTAGAAGACTATTGTCCCTGCAAGATTGATGCCGATGGACAGAGAGACAGACAGACAGCTACAGACCAACAGGCATCTAGAAAATGCTGGGTACATTTTCATCAGGGTCTCATTTTATTTCCATTAATCATTCAAACATTAATGGTCATCAGGACTTACTGCGCAGCATGAATCCCAGCTCCAACAGGGACTGATCAGTCATGTTTCCATCCCAACGTTCCAGTTTGAGGTGGTTGCGAGGACACGACACAGCATCCGAGTCCCAGTCTACACATATCACCTGAAACATGAAGCCACATATTATTAGCTACTTTAAAGATTCTTATTTATACATTTTCTAATAGATGGACAAAAGAAGACAGATCACCAGATGATAATTTGTTTTACTGGATCATAAACTCCACACCAATAGGGCAGGATGGAGGGTTTCTGAACCATTTGGCTGTGAGCTTCATGTCATAAATAACAAAACTTCAGGGTTAATCCTTCATTTCTTGCTTCATCACCACCAACGTTTTATGGCCATTTTTCACACTGGTGTGGGTTAGCAATTACCTGATGGCAGCTGATGGAACGATAAATCATTCTCCAATAGCATAACAAATCCAAATTGTTGACTATTTGACCGCAAAACTAAGATGACTGGAAGACATGAACCATAGACTGACGCCACCCACTTCATAATGTCCACTCACCTTTGATAAGTCCCGGTTGAGACAGGTGAGGTCCTTGACGTGCTTGCCTTCAACATAACGCGTTGTGTCCTTGAATAATCGATACCACACATAACCATTTGGGTCCAGGTGATCGATCAGTGGGAATGCCGTCTAGGAAAGATAAATACAAGTAGATTAATGAACTCATGAAAAATATACTGAGAAACCAGAATGAAATATTGCACATTCACACAGGAAGTCTTTTCCATCAAAGTCCAGTGACAGTTGGTGAAATCAATAAGACAAAGTGATGCAGCATTAAAGACTTTCATTGACATTCAACTTTACAGAGAACTGGTATAGTACATTGAAATTTTTCAAATACAATACAGTACAGTACTACTTACAAAGCCTTGCTCGGTGGTGTAAATGACGATCTCAAACAGCGGAGGAGCACAATGGTGAAGCAGGAACTCCACGCCCGGTCGCTTCTTGAAGCGCCAACCAGTCTCGTACTGTGAAGAAACCATGTATGACTGATATTTGTCTATATTTCTTAGCTGAGTAAAGTAAAAGTTTATTATTCATAAATTTTGTAGATGGTGCTGGGGAAGTACATTTTATTACTGTTTATCACCATAATTTTTCTCATAATACAGTACTGCAGTTTTTCAAGTAAATATTTCAAGAACTGAACTAAGTTATGAGACTCCATTTTATTACTGTGGGGAAGAAAATGTCTTGTTAGAAAACCTACTAACAGGATCTGTCTTACCTAGGGGCTGTCTGTTTTTGTATAGCAACAACACAACTCTCTTTACAAACAATATTAACATGCACAACTGCTGCTAGACAGCTACTGAGTTACACTGACCGTCCACTCGGGATGCACAAGAACATCTCGTAGCTCCAGGACCAGCGTATACGGTGGCTGGATGTACGGTTCTTTTAGGGGATCTGGTAAAAGCTTCTCGCGTGATGGCTCTTGGATCATCTTATTCATGTCGTGCATGCCCCGCCAGGTGCGATACAAGTACTGTTGGATTACAGGCATGCTGACAAATTCATCGGGTATGGGGTTGCCTTCCATGTCCATATTTGGAGAACCTGAAATACCCAAAATTAATTTGTGAACTAAATATTAGATCTGTGCAAACAGGAACCTGGTGAAACATGGCACAATTCAGTACTGTACAGTGAACAGTATTACATCTAAACCAGACAATTAGGGCCCAAACCACCAGGTCTGTGATGCACAACTTTGAATAAAGCTGCACCTTCATAAAAGCCTGTGTAAGGTTGAACAATAGGATATTTTGCAGAAGGTCATTAAAGTTGAGTGTGAGTATCTAGCAATGGGAAAATGACCAAACATGAAAGTTTGCAGGTTAATTTGTAAACACCATTTCTTGTCACACAAGGTGAAGAAGGTCATTTCAAGAACTAACAGGCTTGTGTTGCTCAAGTAGAACAACTTGTTTTATCACAAATTACTGATTGGTTTAATTATTCATGTGGAACTTTTTTTTTATTTTAGGTGTAGTGCAGTATATCTGAATATTATATGGTATCTTAAAATTTAAACATTTGTATAAAAAAGAAACCTAATAATTCATGTGTACATTTCTTTAAGAACAAACAATGTATAACTCTATACTAAAATAAAAACTTGGTTTAAAATGTTACACACAAACCTACATAAACAAGGGTACCTGGTAATAGTTAATGGGAGTAGTCTAGCTTTAGCACCAACCTGAGGATATTTCTCCACAAAAGAAAACAGTTTTCTTACAATGACAGAGTAGCAGAAAGTGCAGAAAGAGGAATGAATTTTTCTTAATATAACTTTCTACATCCAAAATCAGTAGAGGAAGACAGATAACACGACCCTGTCATGTTCAGATTAGCTATTGAATTGTTCTTTTCACAGTAAGGTATTTTATTTTATTTTAGTAGAATAAAATAGAATACAATCAGTAATCTAGGTTAGGTTACTTTGGTAAATTAGTTTTCTTAAATTTATGAAGGATATATTATAGAATGTAGCTGTACTCTATCTAGGAACAAAATCTGAGGTAAGAAAGTTTTTACATAAGTACATAAGAAAATAAGGAGTCTGCAATAGGCCGGTTGGCCTGTGCATGGCAGCTCCTGTCGAGAGTTACTACCACTCTATCATCCATGAATCTATCCAGCCTCCTTTTGAAACTTTCCAGCATTCCAGCACTTACTACAAAGTTGCTAAGCTTGTTCCACTCGTCCACCACCCTATTTGTGAACCAGTTCCTTCCTATCTCCCTCCTAAACCTTAACTTATCCAACTTATATCCGTTGCTCCGAGTCCTATCCTGCTCGGATATTATAAGAACTTTATCTATATCCCCTTTATTGATTCCTTTCACCCACTTAAATACTTCTATCATATCTCCCCGCACTCTTCGTCTTTCTAGGGAATGCAAGTTTAGTTTCTTTACCTATCCTGATATGGAAGGTTTCTAAGTCTCGGAATCATTTTCGTCATTCTTCGCTGCACCGACTCTAGTGAATTGATATCCATTCTATAATAAGGGCACCAGAACTGAACCGCATAATCGAGGTGTGGCCTGACTAGCGCAAGATATAGTTGCAATAAGACCTCTGCACTCTTATTACTTACACTTCTAGATACAAAACCCACGGAAATATTGTGAAGAAGTGTGTTAAGGATAATGTCAGAAAACCCCCAAAAGTAGGAAAGTTGTAATTTCTTTCTATTTCACGAGATAAACAATTTTTCTATGCATGTCTGACGTCTTTCGTATACATTGCCGTTGAACACATGTACGCACACAAACTTACTTACTGTACAATATTTGACACACACATACACCTTTATATCCATACACATGTTTTTAAATACTAATTACAGCCTAGTTATACACAAAGCCAAATTTATACACAATAACAGCCTAGGTTATGCTGGTTCCTGTTGCCTGCCATTACAAATGAAACATTTTATTCAGTTTTTGTATCAGTTATTTATTTTTCTCTTTAATCAACAAGCCAACACGCAAGACCAGAATTTAATGGTGCAGCATCTCTCTCTCTCTCTCTCTCTCTCTCTCTCTCTCTCTCTCACACACACAGCATAACTTACTGACCCCAAGACCAAATGAGGACGCCGCTCATCCCCGTCACCATCACACCAAAGGCTATAAAGGAATACTTGAGCGTCCTCCACGTTTTTTCCTTCTCCTGTTGCTCCTTCTCGCTACTTTGTCCCTCCTCTCCACCCTCCTCTGTTCTTCTCTCTTGGGGTTCTGCTTGTATCTTGGCAGCTAATAGTTCATCTGCTAGACCTACTGATGATGGTTTCTCCGGCGCTATATTTTGGGTGGAGTACCTGTGTAAGGTAAGCCATGTCAGCCGCCTCCTGCCCCCCGTCACCTCTTGGGTCACACTCCTACATAAAGTTCTGTTCGAGTTTCTGAAGAATGAGGGTCTGAGTAAGAGGTAAGAACACCTGAGTGATGCCATGGTGTATCTGTGTGCCTGGTGTGGTGTTGGTGACCCTCACACACTCAGCCACACACACTCACTGTAAACATTGAAACATCAGACGGCTGACTTGCGCCCACGTGAGTTTCCTCTCCCTCTTATCTTTTTCTCCTCTAATTATTAAGTTTCTGACGGTAATACCTTCTTATTTATTTATTTGTCATTAAATAAGATATCGTAAGATATTGAGGATCTGCCAGAGAGTTGTAGTACCCAAAAAGGTGTATATTTAAAGAGATAATGAGGATGTTCCAGCATTTCGACTGATAGTGGGAATCACAATACGTCGGATTCTTCATTATTTCTTATTTAATTGATTTGTGTAACATGACATGATGTGTAGGAGTAAGTCATGTTGAGAATTATGCCGGTAACGTTAAGATATCAGAGATGAGAAAGATACAGTTATATGAAACCAGTGATTGTTGTCTGCTAGTGCACGTTTGTTGTAGTGTAGCATAATGAATAGTTTTCACTCGTTCATGGCAGGACTTGAGTTTGTTAAATATGCTCTTAGATAAGCACTATCGGTAGATAGCATCCTTACGATTATCGTTAACTCTTTAATTGGGTGAAATACACTACTTATATCATATTACTGTATTACCGTGACTAAAGTGAGATGTTTGCTATATTTGATTTTTAATTACTTTTATCCTCTTCACCACTGATCGGCTCGTTAGCCGCTTGGGCGATCGGTCACGTCTCATTACTTTTCCTTTTATTTTATCCTCTTTACCAAAAGATCGGCTCGCTAGCCACCCGGGCGATCGGTCACGTCTCTGTCACGCACTGTTGGCAAGTACTGGGCATGCACCGGCTCCTGAATGTACCTGAACCCGCTCCAGTGTTGGTCAAGTCTTGTCTTGAAAGAGCTCACACTCGGTGCCGTCACAACACTCTCTGGTAGATTGTTCCAAGAGTTTTCAACCCTCACTCCGAAAAAGTTTGCCCTCACAGTTTTCTGGACTTGCGGCTTCTTCAATCTTGAGCTGTGACCCCTTGTGGGGCGAGCGTCCGCAGCTCCCAGTAAGGACACTCGACTAGTGCTCCCTGAGATGCTTATACTCCTCAACTAGGTCCCCCCTTGCCCGTCTGTAGTATAAGCTAGGCAAGTTCAGGCTCTCCAATCTCTCAGGGTAGTTAAGGTGCCGAAGTGCAGACACCCGTCTGGTGGCCCTCCTTTGAGCATTTTCAACCAACTGATAGTCCCTAGCATATCTCGGGGACCAGCTATCATCACTATTCCCTGCTAAGCTCACATCACCACCTTCGTGACAAGAGCGGTGTGTAGGTGAATAAGTTCCGCTGGTGTCTGTAGAGAACGTGTACGTCTTCCCTGGCATACCCTACCTACCTGGAGAGAGACTTCCACTCCTAGAGAAGCTCTTTTACGACCCCTCCTCCACCTTCACCTTCCTCTCCCAGGATTAGAATGAACTCGGGTATGTGTCAACATTAGTCTCAGGTGTAAAGACCTTAGTGTGATAATAATAATGTGTCTGTCATTCCTTACTTCCGTTGAGTCAGTGTAATAAGAATCTATGGCAGCAATCATATCGCAGATGTATAGAAAGAATCATTTAGTGCAATTCCTTACCAGCAAATGTATATAAAGGATCATTTAGGGAAGTTCCTTACCAGCAGATGTACGAGTATAGTATGAATGGATCATTTAGGGAAGTTCCTTACCAGCAGATGTACGAGTATAGTATGAATGGATCATTTAGGGAAGTTCCTTACCAGCAGATGTACGAGTATAGTATGAATGGATCATTTAGGGAAGTTCCTTACCAGCAGATGTACAGAAAGTTGATCGGAAAGAAGGTAACAAGAAAAAGGTAACGGAAAAGTAACAAATTTTGCTCGGAAAAAAGTATCAGGAAGTATCGGGAAAAAGTATCAGTGGTAGTATCAAGTTACTGTAAAAAAGTAACCGCATATACATGAAATAAAATCTTGATAAAATCACACGGGAAAAGGGAAACAACGGAGCACCACGTTTTCATTGTGGATCTACATGAAATATGAAATAAAATATGAATAAAAATATATGTAGAAGCACTTTATTAATATAATATACATTATTACATTATTCCAGGCTCGGTGCCGTCACAACTCTCTCTGGCAGATTGTTCCAAGTGTTTACAATTCTCACTCAGGAAAACTTATGTTTTGTAAAGTTTTAGGATCAGTGTTGCCGTTTGACGGTAAAAAAATGAAGTCGATGACGTAGTCAGTAGACCGTGACGTCACTGCACCGGTCCGTCTGAAAAATACCGAAATTGTTAATTAGGCCTTTTGGGGGGTCAAAGGCAAAATAATTATGAGCATATTTTATTTTATTTCCTCTATTTTATAATTTATAGTTTAGCAATACTGCTTTATGATGAGCTAGTACGAGAGGATGACGTCTACTAGGAACATTAAGACGGCCATTTCGTCCTGTTCCATGTTTGAGTTCCAGGGGCGGATCCAGGAATATAAAAAAAGTCGGGTGTCCAAGAAATTTTGGGTGGGAGAACTTGGGAGCAAAGCGAGCCCGCCCAGCTGGGGGGTTTTGGGGGGCGCTGTAAGCCTGTGGGGTAATGGGTTGTTTGGTTCTCACTCAGGATGGGATGGAGAAAGGAAACTCACAATGTGCTCTCTGTATACATGTTGTATTGGATGTACAAGGCAGTTTGGTGCTGGGAAGTGGCAGCGTGGTTACAAGCGTGATGTAGAGAGAGCTGGTTGGTGAGGATGCTCAGAGGAGGGCCAGCTTGTGGGTCGCCATGCTCGCCGGCGGGAGCGAGGGCCGCCAGGCGGGAGGAGGAGGAGGAGGTGTTGCTTCCTGGTGGCTGTGAGTAGAAAGAGGGTGGTCACCATGAGGTCAGGTCTTATATAGCGGAGGTAGGCGTGGCTTAATAGTTGACCTCCGTCATGTAAGGCGGCGCTGGTTGACCTAGACCACGAGGCATACACTGGGGAATTCGCGGGGTCGGCTACTCAGCAACAAACAGCTTTTGTAGGGGAGGAATCCACTACAAGCCCACCCCCAATATTTTTATTTTATTTTATTTATTTATTATTCTGACCTACTGTATATCATGGGCATTTTGAGGCCATTTTGAAACCATGTAGCCTACACTTGATATTAGGAGATATTCTGGGGTCAACATTAATTAATTTTTACTATGCAAAAAATTCTGAGTGCATTAAAGAAAAGTATTGAAATTTTCTGATGAAAGGGGAGGGGGGGGTCCGGACCCCCAGGACTCCTGCTGGATCGGCCCTTGAGTTCAGTGCCTTTCATATGACTTTCGCTGCAGAGCCTCTGTCTAAAGCATCGTCACGCCGGTATACTTCGACTTTTGGTGAGCCCTTTATTGTTAATTCTTTATTTGTTGTTTTATCAGACATTTTGTAATGATATACAGGGTATATTATTATGATAGTCATCCTTGTTAACCGTGCATTTTCTATGATATTTACCCTTGGAATCACTTAATTTTTTACTTTTTACTATTAGGGCTAACTATTAATAGGAATTCTAGCACTTTTATTTCTTTTATTCGATATACAATAATAATGTTCCACCTGATTTTAAAGTTGTTTACAAAATCTATTGTGAAATATTTCATACTACAGTATATATATATATATATATATATATATATATATATATATATATATATATATATATATATATATATATATATATATATATATATATATATATATATATGCATAATGACAGTGAAAAGGAAATGATTTGTTACTGAGAACCTTTATAATGTTCCTGATTTCAAATTACCACAGTTATTCTATATATGTATCAAATTTAACAAAGAAAACATTTTATGACGCCATGGACTCGTAGTAGTCACAACATGGGGAAGTTAACCAATCAGAGCAGCGTTCGGTAAAACACAGTCGGAATTACGGCAGCACCGATTAGGATGTGTCATACGTCTTACTGTATGCTGTCAGTACTATTTTAATACCTATAATGTTTATACATATTGTATACCCGTACTTTCTATGTATTCCCGCCAAAAAAAGTTGTCAATTCTCTCTCCCATCCATCAACCCTGTGAATCACATATAATATACATTGAATTTGTATTGTCTATAATAAATTTACCGAATCATTGTGAATATCAATGACGAGTTTAATTAATATATTTCTATATAGCTCTCTATATGAATCATTAAGTATAGCAATTATTGTAAGGATAGATATATAGATATTCATTAAGATATAAATTATAACCTAGTCACGTGTAAATCAGTGTGTATTATTCTTTCTTTATGACCACTAATAGCCGTCAAGTTCAGCTTTTATCAATATAAAAATAAATCCAACTAATGACATTAGTGAAGGAAAAATATCAATATTTATTATAACATTAAATATTGAACAAAGTAATATCAGTGCAGTATAGACAGCGCTTGCGATTTGGTTTAATATTATTAGTTTGTTTTATTGATGTATATTGTAGGTAATATTTCTATATATAATTCATAAATATTTCATATCAACTTGTCTATAGAAAATATTTTATTTCTTACGTTTTTAATAAGTAAATAATGTTTGGCTACCAGAATCGCAAGCTTGTTTTCAAATGACGTCACGTCCGTGTAAAGAAATGGCGGATTCGCGGTTTGGTAAGGCAACATATTGTACCTTGATGGATATTGGCGGGTGCTGAGGGGGCTGTAGTCTGTTGTTTGGGGGCTGATAGATACCTTAAAGCTACATCAATTAATGTTACCCGGTAGAGTAGATAATAAGACTGTGAGGAGAGACGTAAGAGATGATCGGCTGGCAGGAGTTCGTTTAGTTATGTGCAGTTGTCCTGTACTGTTATAATATATCAAGATTAAAATATCGTAAAATATTCCTGTGATGGTGAATAGTTTTATATCATTTGTGTCTCATTATGGTGTCAGACTATCACCCCTTTCTCTAAGTATTTCCTTTATTACATAACGTGGTGTCTCTTTACCTCTTGAGATAATCTTCTCCCTCTCGTCTAAACACTAATTAGTATTTTTTAAACGTGTGGCTAGACAG